GGCAGCCCAGCAGGGCCGGTGCAGAGGGTGCCCTTCCCGAGCGGGTGTGGTGTCATCAGCTCCTCTAGGAGCAAAAGTCTAAACTGTACTGGAGCTTCCGCATAGGTTTGGTTGAACTGGTGCTGTGTTGGGCGCTGGCAGGGGTGGAAGAGGCTTCCCTCTGCCCCCCGTGCCCGCTGGCTCGGCCCTTCCGCCCCCCTTAATGCTCTTTTTCTTTGCAGTGTTAAAGAAACGCCTCGTGAAGCTCGTTGTCAACTTTCTCTTCTACTTCCGGACAGACGAAGCGGAGGTATGGGATCTGCTTTTTTGTTGTTGTTTGTTTTCCTCCCTCTCTCTTCATTTGCTGTGAATTGATTGCGTGGGCTTTGTAAAATGGTACGGTAACAGGCTGCCAGAGCCAGGACAGCGCGCCCACGGTTCCCCTTCCATCTACTCAGCAAAAACTGCTGGGGGTGAGGAGCAGCCCTGCCATCTAACCACACCCAGGTGCTTCTCCTGGGAGCTTGGGACAAATCTTTTAAACATAACTGTTTCCCCAAAGCTGCAAAAGGTGGAGTCTGTAATATTTGTTTGTAGGACTGCGCCTTATCGTGCCAAACTGGGAGAGGAAGCTTATCTTTTGCTCTCCTGGGAAAAGAATTAGCGTTGTTTCTTCTTTTTTATGCCAGGCATTTTACTTGTATGCAATGCTCACTGTTACTGGGAAACTTCTGTGGCCATACCCTGTCAGTATTGTTATTTTAGGCATGCAGAAGCCCTGCTTAGGTCTAGGAAAAAAGAAATGAGGGGTGGGACCTTTGGATTCTGTTTCTGGCTTTGCTGCTGCTGAGATCTGGCGATTTTTTAATGCATCCCTTGATAACTGTTACTAAAGATTCTTTTCTTGGAAAATGAATATAAAAGCAATCTTAATCACGTGTGTGAAGGAAGATGCTGTGCATGCCAGTGCCACAAAGGAACTGGAAAGCTTTTAGTGGCATTTTTAGACTCATTCCATCATAAATATTTTACCCTGATAATGGCTGAGCTGCTGTTTTCAGAAATACCCCTCTCTCCTTTCTGCCGAAGCGCAGTCGCTAATCGCCGCTTCGCTGGAGCTGCAGTCGCAGTTCTCCGGGTAGGGCCGAGACGCTGAGCAGCCGCTCTGGCACGTGGCTCTGTAAAGACTCGGCTGTGGCTCCTGCGCTGCTGCCCAGCGCTGCTCTGCTCTCGTCTTTTTGGGTGGTTATTTGTAAGCCCTCACGTGTTCTGATGGAGGGGAGAGGATGTTCTTGAATGGAGCAAAAAGAGTTAGTGCAGCAGGTAGGTGGAGGGTGCCAACGTAAAATGGTTGTGCCAGAAATACAGAGTAAAACAGGTTTTCCAGTATCTTCCCTGCTGCCTTACTTGCCTCTCGCATTTTGTCTAGCTTGGACAGAAGAATTTGCTTGTGGATTGCTTTTGTTTATGGCTTGTATCACCCTTTGGTTCTCATGTCCTTGCTCTGTGTGTGCTGGCTAGCAAATAGTACCTACCGTTTGTCTGTTTATCCTGAGCTGTTCTAGTCCATCAACACGCGGTTCTTAGCCTCCTGCGAGGCTT